GGTAATTGATGAGGGATTTGAGATCTCCTAACAGCCCTTGACAGCTTGCTGTGCGGCTGTGCAAAGGGCCCAGGGTGGGTTTTCCTACGTTTTCTACTTCTTCCCCCAGCTCTCTCCTGCGGGCCCCTTCTTGCTTCTTTCCTTTCGACATAAGCTTCCTTTATCTGAAGGAAGGCCTCACTGGAGGGGGCTGGCTTTTCCCTCTTTTTTTGCTTTCTCTCAAGTGGGTGGGTGTGGAGTGAGCCAGTGCTTGCCTCTCTACTTGATGGACAGGCACACAATGGAGACATGCTGGTGAGACCCCAGACTCAGGAGAATGAAAGCTCCTGCCTGCTCTTCCTCAGGCCCTGTAGTGCTTTGAAGGCGCAGTGTAACAGGGTCTCAGAGAGGAGGCTGACAAACGCTCACCACCCTAGCCGGAGCAAAGAAATTCTGAAGAGGCTCATGTGCCCCTCCCTTCGGCCATCAAACTGTTCAAACAATGGACCCCAAGGCATTGGAATTTTCCCAGGAGTCTCATGCTGGGGAAGAGAAAGGCTGAAGCCTGGTGCCAGCCAGAGGGGAGGCTGTCTCCCAGAGAGATCTCACGGAGTTCTGAGAACTTGTCAGACCGCCTTGCAGGAGAGCCTGCAGCAGACAGTGATGGGTCAGTGATGGGCAGGACCACACCCTGACCAGGACTGCTTAGCTATGCACACCTCCTGCCCTCTGCTTAACCCTGAACCTCACGTCCGGACCCCAAGGACAGATTCGGGAGTCTTTGGACCTCTTTGTTCCTCTTCCCAAGGTGGCTGCACAGAATGTCTCTCCTCTGCTTTTCACTACTACTTAGCTGTTTAATTGACTCGCTGAGGACTGTGGATGAGCCTGGCTGGTTAGGGCTGCCTGGGCCCAGGTTCTGACCCTGACAGCTCTGGAAAGAGTAAATGTTCAACAAAGTGTGGCTGACTGGCTGCCCCACCACACACATGCAATTAATGAGAAGAACCCATGCCGGGCAACTCCTGCCCATGCGCCCTCATTAACAGCTTAAGGCAAACATCTGTTTTCTCAGGCGGGCACCTTGCAGGGGCTAGAACATTTAAATGATGAGTTACAAGTTCCAAACAGAGCCCTTAGCTGGACCTTAGAGGCAGACAGGCAGAGCCATCACCAATCTCCTAGCCTGTGTGATCTCCAGCAAACCATTTAACCTTTCTGGGCTTCAGAACCCTCATTAGAGAACGCACCTCCAGATGTCTGCAGGTGCAGGGAAGCCCACCAACCTTGTTCAGCAGACAGATTTGGGATCCTGGGTGACAATTCAGTAGGTCAGACATGGTATCCAGGATTTTACTTTTTTTTGGGGGTGGGTTAAGGACTGAACCCAGGGCTTCATGAAGGCATAGCGTCCCTCTCTGACCTGCACCACAGCCCTAGAATTTGCTCTGTAGTAAGCTCCCTGAAGGATCCTGGATGACAAGCCCCACCCTCACTGGGAGGAAAATGGGCAAATGACCCTGGGCCCCTGAGAACAGGTATGAGTGTCCCTTCTGTTCATCTTCACAGGGATGGCTTCAGAACACAGCAGGTAAATACAAACACACACACACACACACACACACACACACACACACACACACAGTCTCGGAGTCTCCTCCTATTGTCACACAGCTGTTAGAGGGCAGCTGAGATGAGGCCCCGAGCTGCTATGTATGCCCCCAGGCTAGTGAGCTAGTGAACAAGCTAGTGCCAAAGTGACTAACCTGGCACAGCTCAGACTAATATGTGTTCTGTGGGCACAGGGGGAAGGAAGGCAGGAGGTGTCACTGTGGGGGTGTCCTAGGTGAGCAGTGTGTGCCCCTGCCTGGGGGCAGGAATGAGGGGAAGAATCAGAGAGATGCTGAGACTATGCAGAATCTGTATGACCATGATAATAACACACACCCCTGATCCTAAGATACAGAAGGCAGAGAAATTCAGGTCATCATTGGCCACATAGCAAGTCTGAGGCCAGTGTGGGCTTCATGAAATCCCATAGTAAAAAAAAAAAAAGAAAAAGAAAGAAAAAAATCACACCAGACCCTGCCTTCTCTGGAACACGACAGACCTTGCACGGATAAGAGGTATGGCTCTGTACACATGGGAGAGACCACGATAGTGGGTGTGTCACAGGCTACCATTGTGTGTGAATACTTTCTACCCTCAAGGTAAGGCCATGTGGGTGGAACTTGGGTTCAAGCTGCTCTCTCCCAAGATCTCAGGAAGGATTACGCTCAAACGAAGTGCGGGGCCATACAAACACGTCTTCTCCAGGGGAGGTGTCTTTCCTCTTCAAGAAGCCCTCACCCTAGGGGAACTTTGAGGGGGGCTGAGGCTCCAGATGTGTCCCTTCCACCTTCCTTCCTAGAATTCTCCAGGGAGGGGACTTCATTGTCACGCACAACCACAAGGCGGCTCCTCCCAAGGTGAGCAGCGATGCACTGTGTGAATGTGGTGAACCCGAGCGCACCAAGGCTCACAGAATGTTCCATTGCAATTGAGTCCCTCCAGATCAATCGCTGCAGGACTTTCTCTGACATTTATGGCCTCTGACTCAAGTGTAAGACAGAAAAACATCCATGACACAGTGACCCAGAGTGCTGGCTTCTGAGTCCTCCTAACAAGAACACAACGTTCTTTAGAGCAGGTCGCTGCTGGCCTCTCTAAGATCCCCTGACATGCTCCCACCCATTTCCTGCAGCAGCAGGCTCCTTCCGAGTCCTGCGCCTCACCCCCAGGGCCTTTGCACACATTGTTTCCTTGGGATCCTAGCTGTTAAGACTTAAGAGCACTGAACATACCCGGGCTTGCTTCCTGTGGTTTCTGAGGTGATGAATACTTGGCAACACCCCTTAAAACTGACTGATAAGTCTTTTAAGAGACTCTGGCAGCCCCAAAGCCCCCGTGGTTGTCCTGTCAATGACCCCAAAGTTCTGAGGTTGCAGGCACACACAGTCATTCTCACCCCCCCCCCCCTGTAAACAGGGATTTGAACTCAGATCCTCATGCTGGCTCAGCAACAACTCTTACCTAATGAGCCACTCCCAAGCCCCCTGGGCATCGATAGGCATTTTCTTTAACTCCCTACAATATTCCAGTGTGTTCAGTAGCAGCAACCATTTTCAGAAGGGCTGGCTCTTAGTGGAACATGGGCTGAGCCTGTAACCATGGTCTGTCTTCTCTCATCTCACGCCTACCTTACAGACAGATGAGGAGCTGAGCTTACAGCCTGGAGTCCTAATCAAAGTCCCAGGGGTATAAACACACTGAGCCATTCAGTGGCTTCAGAGGCAGCAATGAACGACCTGCCAGGTCCTCCACTCTGACTCTTACCTGTTGCCTGTCTCATGCTGCATGCACACCTGCCTCCTAACCACGTAGGTCAGCCCAACCCCGGGCTGCTGCAGCTGAGCATCGGCACCAAGGGAAAGCCTCAGACTGGGACCTTCAGGCCGCGGGGAGAGTGGCCTGAGACCCAGGTGGACAGGAGAGTCTGCTACGTCTTTTACAGCTCTTCCCTGTTAGTAAGGTTTTTGTCCAATCATCACAGACCAACGCTGCATAGACAGGGAAGGGACCCAGAATTAAAAAGATCATCAGCCTCTTGGTTTACAGTGGCTTCCCATTCCCACTGGTCACAGTCAAGAGAGTCCAAGCCCTGGCCCTTGCTCCTGCAGCCAATCGGCCAGCTGAGACTGAGGGGCTAAAGTGCGGCCTCTCTGACTCAAATGCCACTTACAAGGTTACCACAGCTCAGCTCAAGAGTTTTCTACCTCTTCCTGGCAGCCCTCTTGTGTTACCTCCCCTAGGTCTCTAAGCCCTTCACTCCTACCAGCTGGGAGCCCTGGAGGTGCATGCTCAGAACCTGCAGCCAGGGTGGGAATTATAGCTGCCCCCGTGTGAATCCTGTATCCCCTTCTGGCAAGTTTGTGGAAAGTCATGCAAAGAAGGGACCTGTCTTGTTTGCCATCAGAATCATCTAGGGGGCCTGGGGAGCTGGCTCTGAGGTAAAGATTTTGTTGTATAAGCATGAGCACCTGAGTTCAGTCCCTACAACCCATGTAAAATGCTGGGTGCTGTAGCACGTACTTCTAATACCAGTGCTGGGAAAGTAGAAATAAGAGAACCCTGGAGTTCTCTGGACAGCTTGTCCAACATTGCATGGTGAGTTCAAGGTCAGGAAGAGACACTGTCTCCTAAAACAGGAGATGGGGCTGGTGAGATGGCTCAGAGGGCAAAGATACTTGCCACTAAACCTGATAATCCAAGTGCCCCTTTGGTCACACGGTATAAGGAGAGAACTAGCTCTTGAATAGTGCCCTCTGACCTCCACACATATGCCACGGCTCATGTGCAACCCTCTACACGCACACAAAATATATAAATAATAGATAAGATGCAATAAAAAAATCATACAAAATCTCCCACAGATACAGTAGACAGCTCCTGAGGACCAACATGTGAGGATGTCCTCTGGCCTTCATGCACTGTGTGCGCGTGCACAACCATCATCATTACCAAGGTCATCATCCATAGACATGCAGCAGCTACACTTCCCAGCCTAGCCTGTCTTCAAAGTTGAAGTCTGGGTCCCAGACTGTGGCGGCTGAGGCTAGAGTCTCTGTGGGGAACAGCCAGGTGTCTCTGACTCTGGTCAGGCTCAGACTTGAGGATGGCAAATTTAATTCAGCCATTGCTGCTTAGAGCTGGGTGACCTCAGACCACTCATGACCCTCTGGGTGACAATCCACATACAGTGTTTCTCAGATCCTGGCCTACTCTGACACCTTTTGGCCAGGTTAGAAGAGCCAAAGAGCTGTGCCCATCCTGGACGTGGTGCAAATCTATGGCCATCAGGCACACTATGTGGCCCTCTTTCACACCCAGTACACAGACCCTGTGGACCATCAGACTCGAAGTCAGAAGAGAGTGTTCCTGTCCCTGCCATGTGGGTGGTCCGAATGGAAGGATCCACTTACCCCAGAGGGCCATAAACACAGAGAAGAAGACAGTGGCAGGGTTGTCAAAGAGGTGACTGGCACGGGCCGTGGCACAGGCTGAACTCATCTTCCAGTAGCTGCAGGTCTTGTCACACAGGGGACACATGGTGATATTGTGTCTCTGGTCACACATCTCCATGCTGCAAGATAGAGGTGGCCTCAAGTTCCAGTCTACTTCCCAGGGGCCATGGAGGGTGGCCCTGGCAGTCACAGTCAAGGCATGTTGGCTAGCTGCAGCCACTCTGTCCCCTCTCCCTGCCACAAGCCTCACAGGCATGTGACCCATACCTAACCATGAGTTTCAGGGCCCCAGGCTCCACTTAAGACCCTGATGTTATCCGACGTAAGCTCCCGTGGTTTGGGGGTAGGGCCCTGGATCTTCACCTTGAACAGATCCCTGACATAGACAGTTCTAAAACACCCACTTATGCCCATATCCTTCTTGGGGCAGAAAGAATCACCAGCGTGTTCCCTCTGGGGTGAACCTTGGACAGTGATACCCGAGGTCAACACCCCTGACACCTCTACGGCCCAGGATCCCCAGACAGCCTTCCTACTGTCCCCAGGTCCTGTCAAAGCTGTGCTATGCATGGAGGCCAGTTACTTCTGTGGTCAGGCCTGGAAGCCCAAGGGAGGAAGGGAATGAACTGCAGCCAGGAGGCCCTCACTGTGGCCAGACCCATGCTGGGTGACTCCCTGGTAGCACTGGGCATCAGGCCATGACCCTTACAGGGCAAACTGGACAGCTACTAAGATGAAGAAAGGGTGACCAGGACTCAAAGGAGTATGTCCCTAAGCAGCCAGGTCTCCAGGCACCCCGAGAGGCTCACTCAAGAGACAGGAGGCTTCAGGATGGTAGGTCCTGGTCAATGGAGTGGGTGCACAAGCTTGGCTAGGTTCTGAAGCAATGCTTCAGGAGATGAGGACCCAGGCCCTCCCCTACATATGCTGGAACAAACTTAGAAGCCACCAGCAGCAGAGGAGGGGCCTCATCACTAGCCTGTGTGGTGTTCCCTGGCCTGGGGGCTAACACACTGCAATTCCACCTTTGTGACTGGGAGCAGGAGCCTAGAGAAGAAAAGTAAATTCCTTAGGGCCACGCAGCAAGGTAGAACTTGAACCCCATTCTCTAAACAAAGCCCTGTGCTTAGAATGGCTCCTAGGGTCACACACCCCCTGCTAAGGTCAGGCTTCTAGGCTGTTCTACACTGTTCTGAGCTCTGTGACCATGGTCAAGACCTCTAGCTTCAAGCTCAACATTTCTGGTAAATTAGGAGGGGAGCGGGCATACTGCCCTCTAGCCACAGCCTGCCCTGACTCTCTCCTTCCTTTGAACTTGGACCTGACTCTGATCTATAAATAGATGCACGGGCTGGAGAACTCATTCCCAGGGTCAGATGGCCATCCGGGAGAAAGCTGAAGTGAGTGAGGAGTTTAGCTTTCTTTTCTTCTTCTTCTTCTTCTTCTTCTTCTTCTTCTTCTTCTTCTTCTTCTTCTTCTTCTCCTTCTCCTTCTCCTCCTCCTCCTCCTCCTCCTCCTCCTCCTCCTCCTCCTCCTCCTCCTCCTCTTCTTCTTCTTCTTCTTCTTCTTCTTCTTCTTCTTCTTCTTCAGATTTCTGGATCCACATGAACGTGTGTGTGTATGTGTGTGTGTGTGTGTGTGTGTGTGTGTATACAGGGCTCTCATTCAGAGATTGGGGTTCAAGTCTCACCTTTCTGCGTGGTCCTAAGGAATGTACTTTTCTTCTTCAGGCCCCTGCTCCCATTAATGAAGGTGGGATTGCAGTGTGCTAGCCCCTCAGGTCAGGGAACACCACACAGACTAGTGACGAAGCTCCTCCTCTGCTGCTGGTGGCTTCTAAGATTCAGAGGACGCACACACACACACACACGCACACACACACACACACACACACACTTGTGCTGGCTCTCAGGGACCCTCTTCTGTGCCCAAGGCAGAGGGCACCAGCTCCATTCTCTTCTTGTGCATCAGGGGTGTTGGCCACTCACCACAGATGCAAAGATGCAAACAGGCTAACCGCAACCAAGACAGTGATTGTGGAGTATCTGGGCAGATGTGATGTACACACAAACGTGGGAGAGAGGCGGGCACCGGGAAAGAGGAACCATGTGCCTTGGGGCCTGAGGCTCTGAAGTCTCAGCTCTGGTGTGTGTGACCATGCAGGCTTGGGAAGGGTGCTGAGTCCAGTTGCCTTGGTTTCCCAGTCTACCAAGACAAGCTGAGTCTAAGGGGTACAATGCTGTCGGGAGGCTGGGAAGGTGCAGCAAAATGGACCAGCATGTGGATGGCCCTTTCAAGGCCATCTTCTTGGGGCCTTAAATGAGCGCAATGTCACCAGATGCCCAGGGCTTGGTCCTTCAGGGTCCATCTCTCTCCTCTCACTGAGACAGATTAGCAGGCACGACTCCAGTTGTTACTGGTCTGGTCTGAGCTCCCTCTCCTTAGGAGCTGGTGGGTAGAAGGCCATTCCTGCTGTGTAATATGCACCTCAGGGTCATGCTGTCTGTTTGGCCCAAGACCGGCACCAGGCGGTGCCAAGGCACAGTTCGGCCCGCCTGCCTGCCTGCTGCCTGCGAGTCTTACAGTTTGTCTGAGTTGTGCCCCCCCACCCCCACACCAGCCTCAGCGTCCAATACAAATGCCAGCAGCCAGACAAAAGCCCTTTTTCTGGGGGCCTTAAGCTCAGCCAAAATCAAGAAATACAGTCTGAAGGTCCAGTACTCAGAGAGGATAGGTGGGGCAGGGTGCACAGGGTGATGTCACTGGCCACCACCTCCCTGAGACCTCAGCCTTGTCTGATGGACTCCAAGGGGGACTCCATGCCTCTGGCTGCCATGCAAGATCAACTGGGGCAGAAGCCAGGATTGGATAGGCCTGGGTATTGGCTTCGTCCATGCCGCTGGTCACCGCTTTTCTGACCATATAAATTAGGAAGACGGAGCTGCCAGAGTAAAAAAACCTGGCACCCTCTCTTGGGGAGTCCACACCCTAGCTGGCAGGGCCCCTTCTATTCAGGGACATCATGGGAACACCCCTATTCCACTACCTGACCCTCACAAGCTTTGAGCTCTGGCAGCTGACAACCAGCCTTGCCACCTCCAAGTCTCAGCCATTTTCGTCTGCCCCATCAGCAAACCCCAGTATGCATTGCATTATCCTGGCATTATCAAGCCTGGTATTGTCCATGCGGACACAGGGACAAGCTTTCTCCAATTTGAGACTGAGGGAACTGGGGAGGGTATTCAGGTGAAAGGAATAGCAGATGCCTTATTCACATATTAAAACATTATGGAAGGGGTTGGAGAGATAGCTCAGTGGTTAAGAGTTCTGGCTGATCTTCCAGAGGTCCTGGGTTAGAGTCCCAGCACCCATGTGGCAGCTCACAGCCATCTTTAACTCCAGCTCCAGGACGATCTTCTGCTCTCTCCCAGCCACCAAGGGTACTGAGCACACATGGTGCACACACATACAATACACTCATACACACAATAAAACACACATACAATACACTCATATACACATAATTACAATAAAACACCACAGAGGCAAAATTGGCCAGATATGGTCTTTCTGGTCTGACAAAACCCCACCTCCTCCCCAGACGACAGACACGGGGTTCTCTACTTATCAGAACCAGCAACAATGCTCCAATGCACAGCTCCACGCAGAGGCAGTGCCAAGAAGGTCCTGCAGCTGGTCATGGGGGTGAGAGCTCAGATCCTCTGGGTAGTCTCAGAACATGGGTGCCCCTCATCATCGTGTCTCCCACAAAACGCAGGGTTGGTGCCTACCTGGGGATGTTTTCGTCCACAGTGGCACATCCATAGAGGAAGACAATGACACCCACGATTGAGGCAGGGATGAGCATCTGGGTGTAGGCGCCAAGCCAGGCAAAGTACAGGCCAACCTTCTCGCCAAAGTATTTCCTACGCCGAGAAACAAAGGGATGCACTCACACCCTAGACCATGGAACACATCACACCCTAGACCACGGAACACATCACACCCTGCCCCCCTCCCGACAATGAACAACTCCAATTGGACCACTGATTCTTCTGCCTGAGAGTCGGACAGTGAGGCTCCAGGACACCTCATCAGGTTTGGGGTGCTCTTTAGTCTTTGTATATGCTCCTACCTACCTGCAAATGTACTACCACTAAACTGTAACCCTAAAAATATTCATACTTTCTCTCTCTTTCTTTCTCATATATCCCAGGCTGAACTCAAGCTCAATATATAGTTGAGAATGACCTTGAACTTGTGATTCTCCTCTTTTCTTCTTCCAATTACTGGGCTCACAGGTGTGCACTGCCATGCCTAGCTTACTCTGTGCTGAGAATTGAACCTAGGGCTACAGGCAAGCACTCTACCAGCTGGGCTGGATCTTGGAGACTGGATTTTTCTCTTTGGCTCAGGCTACCTTTGACCTCACTATACAGGCTGGCCTTAAAATCCTGATCTTCCTGCCTCAGTCTTCCAAGTGTTGGGATTACACGTGTGTGTCACCAGGTTTGATGCTGCCTCTCCTCTGCGCCCTGACTAAGGGTGCACTTCCATTTGTGAAGCCTTAACTGGTGATCCAGGTGTGTCCCCATGGCTGTGGGTTCCATCCCAAGCCCCAATCAGTATAAGCAACAAATAAAACTTTGTCAGAGGTATCAAGTAAATTAACCACTCCCCGCTGAGAGTCTGCTGACCCTCCCTATATTGTCACCATTCACATCCACCAAGCCGCCACAGGATTTGAAGCCCAACTAGCTGCCCCTCCTGCCAGCCTCGCAGGCTGTCCTGCAGGTTCTCTTAAACCTGGTTACAAATTCTCACACCTTGAGGCAGAGACTTCTTCCCTTCCACACCCCAAAGCAGGTGATCTCAGCAGCTATCCTGCTGGCCAAGCTGAGGAGAACTCAAGGGCACACAGTGGGAATGGCCAAATGCTGGTCCTCCAATGGACATGGCTAGGCAGTGTCACAAACCCTGTTGGAGCTGTCTTGACCCCTGGAGACCCAACGGCCCATACAGCCTTCAAGTACAAACTGGTTCCCATGTGGCTGAATATCTGGAGCAGTTGACATGAGCAGGGACTTTACCATCCGGGACATGGCCTTGAGTCTCACTTCACACAGCCACTGCCTAAGAGGACAGGTGCCCTGACTCACCTGACCAGGTCAATGGGCTGATATTTGTAGAAGACCCCATAGCTTGCCCATTCCTCATATAGGAGCTGGAGAGAGGAAAGAATGGAGAAGGAGTTGATGAAAGGTCACACATCAACGCTGCTCCCTGGGAGAGCTTCAGAGTTTCAGTTAGCCTCTCCATCATTCATTCATTCATTCATTCATTCATTCAACAAATGCTTAGAGAATGCCAGGGAAGGAACTGACATTCTGGGTTCAACCGGGGGTAGGAAAGATGCTTCCAGAAGGTTATGGAATCTCAGCTTCTTATGACTGAATTGGGAATTCATCTATAACATCTGACATCAAGAGGTCACTTAGGTCAGACACCAGATTGTTTATTATCTAAACCACAGTGTTCAAGCAGAGAGACATGAACATCAAAATTGAAAAAAAAAATCTGGCAGACAGAGAACACGAGGTTCATCCCCTGAGATTAGGCTTTTGATAAACACCTGTCAAGAGACCAGGGCCAGCCACATAGCTCAGCCCGTAAAGGTGCTTGCCACGGAAACCTGAATTTGATCCCCAGGACCCACATTACTAACTTGCATTCACACCAAGCTCCTGTGTCATACTCTCTAGGTGCAGGGTCTTTCATGGCAGGAGAGAGAGGCCTAAACCCCCCAAACAGCTGCCTATGGAAAGGGAGGATGGCTGCCCCGCCCCCTTCTCAGGCCAAACTCCCTCCCAAGTGTAAAGTCTAAGGTTATAGCAGGGGATGAAGGAGCCTGCTAAAGCGTCCATGACCTCTTCTCCCAATCCCAGAAGCTGACACAGCCAAGGGTTTCTGAGCATCTTGCTTTGGGTTCTACAATGAGGCTGGTGTACTACACTGACCTCAGCTGGTAGGCAGAGACAAGACTCTTGCACAACATCCTTCTGCCCTGCTATACTCACACAAAAGAGCTGCCAGCCTTACCTGCCAGCCAAGAGGTGCTTGCTTAAGGTAACCCTACCAGTGGGGCTTGAGAAGGTCACTGTGGGACTCCTGACCACATCCTCATGATCACCTTGAACAAGGCCAGAGCAGTGGATCTATCCCAGGAATGACCTCAATAAACATACATCTAGAAAGTATGGATGGTGTAGGAACCACAGATTAAAAAAGACTCCAAGTGTGTGGAAAGAACAGAGTGGCCCAAACCCCAGAACAGCTGTCTGTGTATTGTCATTACGCCTGTGTACAGATCGGATGGTAAGGGGACCCAGAGAACCTCCTTGGCACACACCATCCATGCCTATCCTGGGCTCTGTCCCCACATTCTTCCTAAGAGCCCTCTGTCAATCTTTTGTGGGACAGGACTGTCTGATACCCAGGCAAATTACTCTGTTGGCATCAGAATAGTAACAGGAGGGAGACTGGGTAGGGATGGCTCTGTGGATTCCCATGGGTCCCTGCCTCATACTCTGTTGCTTGCTGTGTGTCTTCGTTCTGTAACATTCAACTACATTTATTTAAATGCCATCGTGTGTGTGCCCGTGTACAAATGTGTGTACATATATGTGCATGTGGACACATGGGGACAGCTTGGATGTCATCTGTAGGAAGGCCATCCACCTCCTTTGAACTCTTGTTAGCCTAGAGATCACGGCTGGCTGTCCGCAGCACCCCAGACACCCTCCTGTTTCCCTTTGCAAGTTGCTGCATTGACATATTTTTCAACAGGTTCCAAGAATAGAATTCAGGTCCTTGTGCTTATAAGACAAGTTCTTCACCAACTCAGCTATTTCCCCAGCCCTTTAACATTCAGATTCAAAAATTGGGATGAGGTGGGTCTCTGTTCCCAGATGTGCAGCCATTCATATGGACTGGACAAATGGACTCCCTGAATATGTACAGTTGAGTCTCATATGACTGCTGGGACCTTTTGGGAGGAAATCAGGGTTTTAGGAGGTTGCAGAATTGGGGTCCTGATCTCAGACATCAAGGATCTTTTAGATGGGGCAGGATGGTTGCTGTCTGCAGGCAAGGAACACAGCAGGCCATCTTCTTGCAAACCTTAGTGCCCTGTCTGTTTAGCCTCCCCATCAGTGGTTGAGATTCCCATGCTCCTGAGATGCTCTCTCCCAGTTCAAAAGGTCCAGATGGGGACGACTGGTTCATGTGACTCTTTGGAGATGAAAGACAGGTAGGCAGTATGACCCACACATGTATCAGCCTCAAGGGGAGAGGGGGCCCTTCTTCTATCTATCTGTCTGTCTGTCTGTCTGTCTGTCTTTCTATCTTTTAAGATATTCTTGTGTATTGCAGTATCTATGACTTTGTTGTGTAGCTGAGGATGACTTTGAACTCCTGACGTTCCTGATGTCAACTCCTCCTAAGTACTAATTAGGATTGTAGCCACCATGACCTGTTTATGCAGTACTTGGGAGTGAACCCAGGGTCTTGTGGAACTGGGCAAGCACTCTACCAATGAAGCTGCTAGTCCAACCCTTCTCCAGCTCTGAGAATTAAGAACTGTGTGTTTCACCCACAGCCAGTCCACATCCCTCCAGGGAGTAGGGAAGAAAGCAAGTGAGAGACCGAGGCACCTGTGAGGAGCAGGGAGCCCTTCTGTGAGGCTGGGATGTGCCTGCCAGTTCCCTACCAGCATGGCTTTCTCTGGCCCCTAAAGTCCTAGATGGGGCTCACACAGGATGAAAACCACCACACTCTCAGTGAGGCTTCCCAGTAGGAACCTGAGAGGAAGTGTCAGCCCTGCCAAACCAGGGTAGATTTGGGGAATCCCCAGGCAGACCTTCCTTTGCACCAAAGGCTAAAGGGTGCTCTTTTCTCCTGGGTCACTGTGGGAGCCTGATGGCTCATGTGTGTCACTGTGATCTGCACAGGTTATGGAAACAGGGAGAAGGCTACAGCTCCCTCCAGAGAGCAGAGCAGGCCACCAGTCAACCTTGAGGAATCTACACTGCACCCCTGTAGTGAACCTCTAGGTCATCTGTGACTACACACGGCTGTGTGTGTGTGTGGGGGGGTGTGTTCACCAGAGGAGAAGGTGAGAGACCAGGGAAAGAAAAGGGTGAGATTTGGGGTGTGAGAGGCAGGGAGATACAGTTGAGGGGAAGAGGAAGAGGGGGGAGCATGGAGGGGTGAGAGGCAGAAAGAGGGAGAGGGAGGAGAGAAAGCAGGGAGATACAGTTGAGGAGGGAGCAGGACAGAGGGGGAGGAGGGAGGGAAAGAAAGACAAGGGTGAAGATGTGCAAGCTTCTTGGAAAGAATTTGTTTAAAACCACCTCAGAAGGATTCAAGCATGTCTTGGGTTCTGGCTGGCCCGTGTGGCCTCTGCAGGCTCATCATCATCCTGACAGGTTGGGAGACAACACTGTTTTCTACTTCAGCACCGCACTGTGAACTCTTCCTGCTCCGAGGTAACCTCCTTCACCCTTGCTGTCAGGTAAATGGCTCACAGGGAGATTCACTAAAGCCCTTAGGGGAAGCCTCCTGCCACTTCAGTCTCTGCCAGCCTAGGAGGAGGAGGGCTCAGGGTGGGAGGGCTGTGACCTGCAGCGGACAGGGCTCAGTCCAGGACAGTGGTGGGGCAGACTCCTTCCAGCCACATCCGCACATCTCCCACAACGCCAGAATCTCCTCCTTAGAGGTCTGGCTGCCCCCTTCTCTGTGGGACCCTTTCTGGCCTCGGCAGGATCCAACAGCTGGCTGTAGCAATGCCCCTGCTCAGGTGTGTCCTGACTTTGGTTAGGGTCTGTCTTGGGGAAGATCAGAAGCTACCTGCGGCTGTGGTGGAGGTTGCCGGCAGCCAGTCTGTGCTGAGATCTGCTCACAGCTCCCTCTGGCAGAAACCTCACTGCCACACTGCTCAGCCCAGGAAGATGTCCTTGCTGTGCTTGTTTCTCTGCTCCTGTCAGGTTCCTGGCGTCAGGCTCCCAGGGTTCCTATTCATCCATTCATCTACCAGCCCATCTTTACAGCCATCCAGCCACCCACCCATCACCTGTCTATTTATCCATGGATAGGGCAGGAATTGCAAGGAAGAAGCCACAGTTTTTGTTACAGAAAAGGGAAAAATTTCAAACCAAGTCACTTTGAATGGAGCCATCATGGGGGAATAGAGGTTCTGTGATAGGACCAAAATGCTTACCTGGCCTTCCCTTCTTCCTTCCATCCATCATATCTACTCACTGATACATCTGCCCACTTGTCCATCTACCCATCCATCCACCAATCATCCATCCATCCATCCATCCATCCACCTATCCACTCATCTATCCATTCACTCACCTATCTATCCATCTACCTACTCATCAATCTAGCCATCCTTATATCCATCTACTTACCAGATCATCCATCCATCCATCCATCCATCCATCCACTCTTTCAACTATCCTTATATATACCCATCCATTTATTCATCTATCCATGCATCTATCTTTCCATATAACTAATTACTCATTCATCCATGTACCCATCCACCCACCCACCCACCCACCCATCCCTCCTTATATCCACCCACCCACTTGAGCATCATTATTCTCTGGTTTTTCAATGGGCCAGGCCTTGTATACTTTGCTGGGACATATAATTCACTGGAGTGTGGGGTGTTCCCAGGAGAGTTAAATAGTTGGGCCTGAACAACCTGGAACCATGTTGCTGAACCTGACACTTAGCAGAGCCAGGAAGTTATCTGAATAAGTAACAGCTATTCCTGACATGGTGTGACTGTCATCCAAATTACTATGACCAGCATGACAACTAGTAGGTTGTGTTCTGGGGCAAGCAGGGGGCTAGGGATGGGGGAGCAAAATGGGGTTGCTGCTGTCCATGGAAGAAAGACCTCAGTCAAGAGCCTGAGACACAAGGGGTGAGGGAGACCCAGAGTTGGCTAGGACACGGAGTGGACCATGCTTCTCCAGCAGGATTGGATAGGGAGTTCATCGGGTCATGGGGTCTCAGATGAATGCCAGATGGGACACTAAAAATAACCAAATATGTCATTTTTATGCTAAATCAGATAGAATCTTTAGCTAGATTCCCGGGCAGGCAAGTTACATCAAGTACTAACCATTTGAAAACAAGCCTGGGGCTGGAGGAGTCTGAGAGGGAAGAACATACCACCCAGAGGTCCCCCAGGCCTGAGGTGTGGGGACAAAGCCTCTATTGTGAAGTTCACAAGGACGCACGCATGCACGCCACTTGCAGAGGGACAGGGACGCCCCTCTCTAGGAAGGAGCCTGGGTTTGTTGGGCTAACAGACAGGCTTGTATGAATGCAGTGTGGAAGGCTGTCAAGGGACAGGGGCATTCCTGAGTGGAGAGCAGGCTTCTGGGGAGGGGAACGCTCACTCAGGAGCAGCTTCATGGGGATCCCCTGGGCAGAGTGAGGATTCTGGGCTGCTGGAGAAATGAGGAAGGCCAGCAGTGAATGGCATGTAGTGTTTCCCAGAGGGCACTCCACTGACCTCCGGCTTGGTAACTTCTCTGTTCGAAAGAATTCCAGGACAGCTAGGTTTGAACACCATGAAACCAGTTCCCCAGGATGCTGTGGGGACTGTGGCTCTCTGGGCAACTGGCCACTGCTGAGTCCATGTTTACAGATCCTGGTGTCGGTGGAATGAGGCCAGGTGCCTTCAACAAGGAGCCAGGGACAAGGTACAGGGTGACCCCGTAAGATAGGGGTTCCCTGGAAATCAGTGTAGGAGAGGAGGGTAGAGAGGAAGAGGCGGGCTCCGAAGAGGTATTTTTCCTTTGCATGGTCAGCTGCCTGTCAAGGGCAGGGTAAAGGGACTGCGGAAAGGAAACAGAGAGCCCCTCAGGCCATTCATCCCTCCCAGCCCCGCCTCCCACTCAGCTGTTGCAGACTTACTTTCCTGTCGTTGAACTCAACGTTGTCACCCTCATAGTCTCCCTGTGAATGGAAGCAGAAGTAAGTTCTGACTGGGCCACAAGGTATGAGGCTTGCCAGTTACCCCTCCTCCCACTGTCAGGGCTGTGTGAGCCCCAATTCCCAGACAGGGCTGTGTGAGTCCCTCTTCCTATGGTCAGGGTTATGTGAGCCCCGCTTCCCATGGTCAGGGTTGTGTGAGCCCTGCTTCCCATGGTCAGGGCTGTGTGAGCCCCAACTCCCATGGTGAAGGCTGTTTGAGCCCCTTTTCCCATGGTCAGTGTTGTGTGAGCCCCGCTTCCCATGGTCAGGGCTGTGTGAGCCCCAACTCCCACGGTGAGGGCTGTGTGAGCCCCAACTCCCATGGTCAGGATTGTGAGTCCTGCTGGCCACTTTGCCTCTGACACCAGACTCCCCAAGATTTGTCTCCCATCAACACAGAGTGGGATCCCAGAGGAGACCGTAGCATTTCTTTGAAGTTGGCAGGGTTAAAGAAAGAGGCCTTTGAGGGAAAAGCCTGCTGAACAAGAACATATGGCATATTCTGAGATGTCCCCAGAGTCTTGTCTAGGCTTCCACTGTCATGTGTACCACAGTAAATCACACAATTTCTGAATATCCAGATCCCTGAGCCCAACATGCCCAGAGACTCAAATATGCAGCCTGACCTTCCTGAGGACACACAGCGAAGTGTTTAGTCAGACCTGGAACTCACAACCAGATTGCTAAAGTCAAAGGAAGAGAGGATCCAAAAGCTGAAAGTGAGCCCCAAAACCACTAAGCAGGAACAGCAAGAGAGTCGCTCTCCCCAGCAATCCACACCATATGTAGCTGACCTGGGTCAACCACCCGCTTTTGCTGGTCATTAGCAAGATACATCATGGCCCCTTAAGAGCCTGTCTAGAGCCACCTTCTCCCCTCCATTGGTCGGCAATGTTTGCAGTGCCTGCCACCTCTGCCAGGTGGGGAAGATCTGGCCATGTCCTCAAGCAAGCGGCCCACTGCTTCCTTCTGGACTCCAGGGATCCCCTCCCACCCAGGCTCAGATCCTTTTGGTGTTTTCATGAATGGGTCTCATGGTGCCAGTATGGATTCATTCATACCGGAGGCTTTCTTGTGCTGACTCGAAGGCAGGCAGAAGCCAACCCGGAAGGAAGCTGAGAAGCCACAAGCAGCCAATATAAATGTCACCAGCCTTTCTGTGCAGGTGACACCTCTGATTACTGGAGACCTCCCCAGGGTCTCACTCTGAATAGGTGACTCTTAGCTCAGAGGACTAATGCTAGCTACTCAGCTGACCGCGGTGCCCATATCCATCATGGCTACCCAGCTGGCGGCAGTGCCCATATCCACCATGGCTACCCAGCTGGCAGCAGTGCCCCACAGCCACCATGGTACCCAGCTGGTTACAGTGCCCACAGCCACCATGGTACCCAGCTGGTCACAGTGCCCACAGCCACCATGGTTACCCAGCTGGCAGCAGTGCCCCACAGCCACCATGGTACCCAGCTGGTTACAGTGCCCACAGCCACCATGGTACCCAGCTGGTTACAGTGCCCACAGCCACCATGGCTACTCAGCTGGTCACAGTGCCCACAGCCACCATGGCTACCCAGCTGGTCACAGTGCCCACAGCCACCATGGCTACCCAGCTGGTCACAGTACCCACAGCTACCATGGCTACTCAGCAGGTCAGAGTGCCCATGTCCACCATGGCTACCCTACTGGCCACAGTGCCCACAGCCACCATGGCTACCTAGCTGGTCAGAGTGCCCATGTCCACCATGGCTACTCTACTGGCCATAGTGCCCACAGCCACCATGGCTACCCAGCTGGTCAGAGTGCCCATGTCCACCATGGCTACTCTACTGGCCACAGTGCCCACAGCCACCATGGCTACCCAGCTGGTTGCAGTGCCCAACATCCACCTAGAGATATTAGGTGAAAGAAAAAACAGTCCATAGGGATGGGGAGAGGATGAGGATGCCCCAGGCTAGGAATGAAGACAGGGGCATGAGTGGAGGACAGGAGATGGATGCAGAATATACAGGCAAGCACCAAGCACTGTAGAGTAAGCATAGTCACCAATCCCTCTCTGGTCCAGTCTCACTTAACCTCCATCTGTGCCCTCTGTTTAAGGGCACAAGGTAGACCTGGCTCACTTCAGAGCAAGTTATTTTTCTTAGAATTAGTTTTGTATTTTGCTTTCATGTTTGGTTTTGGAGATAGGGTTTCTTTGTGTAGCCTTGGCTGTCGTAGAACTAGCTCTGCAAACCAGGCTGGCCTTGAACTCACAGAGATCCGCCTGCCTCTGCCTCCCAAGTGCTGGTATTAAAAGCATGCTTATTTAGTATTTTGCTACAAGGTCCTACTAGGCAGCTCAGGTTAGCCTCAAACTCACCATCCTCCTGCTTCAGCCTCCTGAGTTATGAGATGGCAGCTGTGTGACATCACTCCTGACTTCCCTAGTTGTTTCAGTGTGAGCTTGATACTTAATGGAATGTGTGCTGTTTGGTTGTTTGCTAAGTTTATAGATGGAAATTTCCTTAATGTCCAGAGGTTCTAGGCTCTGCTTCTAGGCTGTGCATTCCTGAGCAAGCTGCCTGAGTCCCACAAGCCTCTGTTTCCCCATCTTTAACATGGAAAGTGTGGCTTTCATAGAGCTGCTGCATAAGGAACGATGACAGCTCTGCTTGGCAAAGAAAGAGCATTTGACCTTCAGGAAAGGGAAACACGTGGTGGCACCACTAGGGACATGCAACAGGGTGCCAATCACAAGTGGCCTTTATTCACAGTTCCTCGCAGGGATCTGTGACTTTTGGAAAGCTTCTAAACCTCTCTGAATCTGTATTTTCACTGGGTTAAATGAGATAAAATTTCCAGTGTATGCAGTGGTTGGAGTGTAGTAGGTTCTGCGAAAAGTTTTCCAATCCTTTCCCTTTAAGATGTAAAGGGCCAGCTCAAAGCCGACCAGGGCCTAGAAACACTTTAACTTCTGGGCTCCAGCTATACCAGTGAAGGCAGGGCAGTGCTAGGCTGGGCATGGCTGTATCCTGGAGCCCAGTGGTATCCTGAAGAGGTGGGGGCTCAAGAGTGGAGCAGAGACTTCATGGGAGGGACCAGAAGTACTGTCAGGGCCTGAAGGATCAGGGCACTACCCTGGAAATATTTACAAAGCAACATATCCCTTGAGGAGGAGGCCAGAGAACCCAAGTCCCACTAACAGCTAACACCACACACACACACACACACACACACACACACACGTATGCATGCACACTGTGGCCTGGCAGCCCTCTCCCTGTGGGATAAGGGGCCTTGGAAGGCCAGCGAAGGGAGGAAGGCATCAAGGGGACTGGAGAGAAGAGGCAGAGAAAAACATCGCCGCAGGCAAACAGAAGAGGAGCACATACAAAGGCACAATTGACCCCAAATCCCTAGCTCTACAGAGTGGTGAGGGCCCCAGTTAGGGTTGGGAAGGTAAGATGAGGGGACAGATGAGCCTAGCTTGGCCTCTCCCGCAAAGTCCCCCACATGGCCTATTGCCCTGTGCTATTTCAGCAATCCTGTCTCCTCCTAAAAGTGATTTCTTGCTGGACTTGCTCTGATACCCACATCTGTCCTGCTGTTATAGACATTAGTCCTACCAAGCTGCTCAAGGCCAGTGGAAGCAAGAGCAGAAGCATGAGATCCCGGTCTGCCAACCCCCAGGCCTGTCTTCCTTCCCTTCTGCTCTGGGCTCCTGGTCCAGCTACACTCTACATTTGGCGAGTTCCAGGGAGCCTCTGCTGGGGCTCACACATTCCTCAGGCCCCACAGCATAATCCCGGTTTCCATGAAGAAAATAAGGAGACTATCTCACCCTATCTCTTCACCCCTGGCCACAGCAAAAGTGAAATTTGTCAAAGAGAGGCCAGCTGGATTTGGACACTCAACCCAGGAAGCTGGTCATTTGCTGTACACAGAGCCCTGGTGAATGCCAGAGCCCAGGGTGGCAGAGCTGGAGCCAGGGCAAACACCCTGTGGATCAGCTGGCTGCGAGGTATGGAGGAAGCCAGCCTGGCCTCTCCCACAGTCTTCCCCGTTTTCATGGGATTGTTCTGTCTGCCAAGACAGCCCTGTGTGTGACTTTTCCAGCTCCCACTGAGGGGGACAGAGAAGGCCAAGCAGGAAGCTGTGACCGCAGGATAACTGAAGCTCCCAAGAGGCATGGCCCTTGAAGACTGGGGGTGGGTGGGGAATCAAACGATGCAGAATTAAGTATGTGTGAAGGTTACTTACGTCGTGCAGAGGGTACGCGGCTGAGTATACGCCGTTGGCCAGAAGGCTGGTGATGCCTTAAAAACAGAGGTAGAGAGAAGTTAAGGACCAGCAGGCCTGCTGCCCACATCTGGAAGTCAGAGCCATCACAGGGTGCTCCGGTTCACAGGGAGGATGCTGCTCAAAGCCAAACGCACCAGGCTACCCAGAGCCCAGTCACCATCTTGGGGTTCTTCCCCGGGGTAGAACGCAGCAGGGCGAGTTAGCTATCCACTAGAGATGATTTCAACATGCTTGATTGGTAGGGTTAGGAAGACGCAGAGCACACCCCAAGAGGAAGTTCTGTCCCTGAGGAAGGAGGCAGGAGCAGTTCAGTCACCCCCAAACCTCGGATTCGCCAGTTACCCCCACCGGCCTGAGGGAGAGTCTGCAGATGGAAAGATGGCCTCCGAGCGGTCAGAGAAGCTGATCATGAGAAGATGGACGGATGGGAAATTGATGGTGTCAGGAAACACACATACAATTTGGAATTAGCTTGTAAGTTGATGGGAGAAGCGGAAGAGGAGGCCCCGCTCTTACCGTATTTCCCACACTTCCGCCGTTTACTTAGAAGGGCAGAGTCCTTCCTTCTTCCCTCTCCTTGCCCTGTTTACACATTGGCTATTAGTTACACAGAAGGGCCTGGAAGGGTCAAAGCTACATTTGGGGAAGAAAGCTGGTAGAGGCAAAGGGTTCACGGTCAAGTGCTCAGGGCCAAAGGAGGATGGCTGGGGCTTTGCTGGCTGGGCCCAGAGCCCACACCGGCATAGGAGAAATAAAAACAGTCACATTTACACCTGTCTGCTGCAGGGATGCTGTGCCTATCTCCAGACCCTGCTAGTGAAGGTGGGGAGGAGAGAGAACCCAGGGATGGAGGAGATCTTGGAAAACTGCTCTGGTTTTGACATCCTTGGGAACAATGTCTTAGATCCTCGTCCCCCCAGACTTTCAACTGTTGCCCCAGAACCCCCTGCAGGGCAGAGTGGCTTTCTAAGTGACCCCATGTGGGCCAACTTTTCTCAACAGCCTGTAAGCTGATTCTATGCAACGTGGCTCAAGAACCATCTCCTTGGATAGTGACCTGGAACAGTCAGGTGCACCGAGGAACACTTAGGAATCACAGCCAGAGGCAGCCAGAGTGCGTGACTGAAGCCACGCTCAGAAGCAGAAAGTTCGCCTCACATGGAAAATGTATGTGGAGCTGGATCCTGGCCTGTGGCCTCCTCACCCTTCCTAGCATGCACCCAGAGTGGAGCTGCCACAGGGCCTTGCTTGGGTTTGTGTGGCAGGCTTGCCAACCCTCTTTCCTAAGTCTTCTCTGTCCTCATCTGAGAGGCCTTCCCTGACCATGGCTCCCAATCACTCTAGCGTTCCCAGCCCCATCTGTGTAACTGCATGCTAGCTTCTCTGTTTCCTTACCCTAGAACCCAAGTACCTGAGGGCAGCCCCTGGGACGGAGAGGGGCGGTCAAGAGCCCATCACTAGTGGATAGAGGGTCACTAAGTGACTTCGTTGGTCAGTAGAGCTCCCAGGCCAGGTGCCACTATGAAGTGGGGTTACAAAGGCACCCTGATCTCTCTCTTCTACACAGAGGCAAGGGAACTAGAGAAGTTTGAGGAAAAAAAAGGCCTGGGAACCAACCCAGCCCCTCTGCCTCAGGATCAAGCTAGAATAGGGGTTAGCTCCAGTCCAGCCTGCTCTACAGACCTTCATGGAAGCCACATTTAATTCTATGAACGGGACCTGATGGTACCTGGACTGGAGTCACGTACTCTTTCTACTTCTAGAGGCTTCGTCCCAGCTGTGCTCTTACAGTGGTAACTTGAACAACCCCCGAGTTTGCTTCCTCCTCCATTCACCCAGGGTGCAAGGACCAGGCCAATGGGGACAGGGCTCCTGGGTTTCTGGCTGGGTCCTTAACTCCAATGAATCAAGATATAGAGTTGGACATCTCAGAGTGTCCCTGTGGCCACCTGTGGGTCACACTAGTCAGGCTACATGCTGTCCCTGAGTCCTGGAAGAACCCTCCCCGCAGCCTGGCCTATCTCAGTCGGGTCACACAACAGCTTGGCCACTGTTCTCCTCGGGCTGCTATTTCCAGCAGCCTTGAACTGGGCTGTGGTCCCCAAAGGACACCCCTGTCATTCTTTTTTGTTGAACTTATAATCAAAGAGGAATTTGGAACCATTTGTCTGTTTCTTTTTCATGGTTTAGGGTCTCTCTGCGGGAAGCTGGCCTTATACCAACAAGAACCTTCAGCCAAGGGCACAGCACCTCTGGGTGTAAAGCGCCTGGCTATAAATCCACAGGGAACAGGACCCTGGCACGGCTTTTCTGCCAGTTTCCCAGGCCTCTGTTCTGAACCAACATAGGCTTAAATCAAATCTCTTTGAGGAAGCCCCAAGCCAGACACCCACCCCCCTGAGAGGGCTCAGAGGCAAGAAGGCCACTCAGAAGCAGCCGCTGACCTCAAATCCACAGAGTGTCCTTACCCATGCTATACTTGGCCTTGGTGCAGGTTGTTCTCTTCAGAATTTCATAGACCTAGCACAGAGGGAGGGACAGAAAGGGGGAGTGGTTACTCTGCTGCTCTGCCAGTCAAAGGCCACAGTCACGGGGCACCAGGAGGGTCCTGGGTTTGGGACTCTAGCAAGTAACTTCCAGAGGTAAGTGAAATAGGGGTCACAGAGAACCCTCTTTCTTCACGTCCTGGAGCAGGGCTAACAAGGTGTTAGTCATGTGCAGTGGGCACATTCCTAGGAACTAAGGGGACGGGGGTGGCATGGGAGATATAATAGCCATCTTGGTGCCCTGCAGCAGCTCACTGCCCCTTTGTGGAGGCAAGAGCAGGAGCAGAGAGCTGGCATGCAGTTCTGTGTGGGTTAGATGCCCAGAGGGGGGCCAGGTGTGGCCGTGGATCTCAAGGCCCCAACCACACTGGGCACACAAGCCCCCATGGAGGGACCCCATCCCTCTTCATAGCTGACTGACTAATGAGATACTTTGCTTGGTGTTCTCAGGAGCCCTGGCTGACGAGTCTTGTTTGACTGGGGCTGCGTTAGGAGAGCATGTGCAAATTGCACCACCACCCCCGTGCCTCAATTTAACTCTGTGAAAAATGAGCTTAGAATAAATGACCATGATCTAATTAGTTTCATTTTATTTCACGTAGCCAGGGCTGACCTCAAACATATTTATTGTCAAGGACAACTTAAAACTTCTGCTCTTCCTGCTTTCCTCTCCTAAGGGCTGGCACTGTAGGTGTGCACCACATGTTTGGTTTATGGGGTGCTGGGGATCGAACCCAGAGCCTCCTGTCATCTAGGCAGTCTACCAGCTGAGGCACAGGTGTAGCTCTGTCCATGATCCACAGGTGAGGATTTCTGAGCATGCTGATTACTCCTCAAACCCTGTACTGTGTTCACGCAGGCAAGACCAGTGACCCTCCACTGGCCTCTAGGCCTGCACCATCTAGCTCTGCCATTACATCTTCGGCTCCTCTGTCAGCAGCCCTAGCCTCTTGCTTTGAGTTCCCTCTTGCAGCCTCTGGTAAAAGCACTCACCCCCACAGTTCTAAGATGTCCCAGGATCACATTAGAAGGCCTGTGACATAGCTCTGTCCTATCCTGTACTGTCTGTCATTCACCATCCGCCCTGCGATTGATGTTCTCAATACTTCCTCCCTCCCTCCAGGAGAGAGCACACTGTAGGTACTTAATAAATCCCTACTCAATTGCTCTCCAGGACCCCCTCTGTCACTCTGTATGTCGAACTGGTTAACCTGTCATGGCTTTCTGCTTATTCCACAACCACCTCCTGCTCTCCGCTCACACAGTCATGACAGCCACGATTCGACATCCATCCACCTCCACCACTCATGACCCCACATCCATCCATCTGTACTCTGGTGACCCCACACCCATCCACCTCCACCACCCATAACCCCATATCCATCCACCTCCACCATGTGACCCCACATCCATCCACCTTCACCACCATGTGACCCCACATCCATCCATCTGTACTCTGGTGACCCCACATCCATCCACCTCCACCACCCATAACCCCATATCCATCCACCTTCACCACCATATGACCCCACATCCATCCACCTTCACCATGTGACCCCACATCCATCCACCTCCACCACCCTTGACCCCACATCCATCCACTTCCACCATGTGACCCCACATCCATCCACCTCCACCACCATGTGACCCCACATACATCCACTTCCACCATGTGACCCCACATCCATCCACCTCCACCGTGTGACCCCACATCCACCTCCACCATGTGACCCCATATCTATCCACTTCCACTATGTGACCCCACATCCATCCACTTCCACCATGTGACCTCATATCCATCCATCTCCACCATGTGACCCCACATCCATCCACCTCCACCATGTGCCCCCACATCCACCCACCTCCACCATGTGACCCCATATTCATCCACCTCCACCATGTGACCACATGTTGCGGGAGGTCCTCCCACTCCTCCAGCCTATCACCGCTGAGGTACCAGCCCACTGGGGCGTGGTTTCTCTCCCTTTAAAAAAGCGGCCACTTCCCTCTTCTCTCTCTCTCTTCACTTCCTGCTCCGCCTGCGACTAGACTCCTTTCCTGGTTGCGAAGAGGGCTGTTGCCTGGGACAGTGATCTGTAAGTTTTTTCCCCTTTAAATAAATACCACCCTAATAATCATAACCCCGAATTGGTGTGGCATTGTTTGTGACTTACGCCTTCATTTTGGCGCCCAACGTGGGGCCCGAACCCACGACCCTGAGATTAAGAGTCTCATGCTCTACCGACTGAGCTAGCCGGGCTTACGCCTTCAACCACACATCCATCTACCTCCACCATGTGACCCCATATCCATCCACCTCCACCAGGTGACCACACATCCATCCACCTCCACCAGGTGACCCCACATCCACCCACCTCCACCAGGTGACCACACATCCACCTCTACCACTGTTTAAAATCGCAGCAAGCACAAGAAGCTCTTGTCTCTCTAAAGCTGCTGGTCTTTGACTCCAAATAGCTTGTACATGTGCCACCCCAGTGCCAGGAGAGAAGTGGCCAGTGAGGAGGAAGAGGTTGTCACACCTTGGCCTAAACCATGAGATGAGACCTGACCAGCCATGCAGGTCTGCGAATCAGCAAATCCCTTTGGAACACAGAGGTGGTCTACACACTGGCCTCAGAGTCTCTGGGAGGTAGTGTCTCTCCTTCCTTCCTCCAGCAGCAAAGAGAGTCATGGCTCTCCACCTCTGCTGTCCCTAGTGCCCTCTCTGGCTCAATGTAAATAGCAGCATACACCCAGGGGAATCTCAGACCAAACAGTCCCACAGCTAATCACCAGGAAGAGATGTCAGAATTGTTCACAGCCCCTCCCACGTCAGGCACCTCCCCACAGCTAAAGTATGCTTGCAAAAGTTCTTCCAGAGGCATCGGACACCCTGGGAAACGTGCAAATCAAGGCACACACACACCGAAGCATGGGCACATAACTGTTACAGTGATGTGGGAGAGACTCTGTGGGTCACACTGTAGGGGTTCTCGCAAGAAACAAAGACCAAGGGGGGGATATGGTTGCCCCTCAAACACACCAGTACCAGTTTAACCAGAGGCTATGTCTTTGCCCAAGTTTTTTGTTGCTTATTATCATGAAATTGAATCGTCAAACTTAATCAATAGTAGGAAGGCCAAATGGTTCAGCAGGTAAAGGTTCTTGCTGCCAAGTTTGACTGTCTGAGTTCAATCCCCAGAAGGAGAGGATCAGTTCCCTAGGGTTGTCCCCTGGCCTCTACCACATACACCATGGTACATGTACTCACCACCCTCAAAAAGTAAGTTAATAAACACGCAAAAAATTAAAAGCACCAATGATAACAAGAGCACACTGCGCCACGGGACTGCTGATGGGGTGCTACCCTGCCCCTGGGGGGACAAACCAGAATCAGTCTTGTTCTGGCACAGTTTGAGAGCCTTCCTTACAGGTACAGGTAAGGGAAGAGGCAGCAGAGGGGAACACCTGCCTGTCCTGGGTCTGAGCCTCCTTCACCAACAGGACCTGTGCCACCTTCCTGCAGGGTGCCGGCTGCAAGAAGTTCCCTGTGCCAGGCAAACGGGCAGCTTCCCCTCAGCCCTGACTGTGACCCAGCCAGGCTGGGTGCTCCAGGCAGGAGAGAACAGAGCAGGCCTTAGCCGCCAGGCGGATTTCTTGTTTAGATAGGAGTTGGGTCCTGTGCCATGCACAGTCCCAGCTTGGCTGGCAGTCAAACTGGCAGCTGAAGGATAAACACTAAGCCAATGCCCTGAGTAGGGCAGGGTGGCCTGCATGGTCAGATTGCAACCTAGGCTGGCTGCACTGGCAAAGGCCTTGGGATGTTAAACTAATACATGTGCCAAGGCTGAGCTGCCTGGCCTTCTCAGACATCGCCGGCCAAGCCCCTTGCAAACTCTACCAGAATGGAGTGACCAGGGGGGTCTGCAGGCTTGGAGCTCGGCCTGGAGGTCCCCTCCCCCAGCTTCCTGCAGTTTAATCCTTTCTCACGCTCCTCCTCCAAACCGAGCAACCAGGGCCTCCCTCCCCTGGGCCACCCACTGCCCTCCTGATTCATTATTCTAATTATTTTTGTCACAGGCAATTAGAGCCGGCTTCCACCCCGAGGAGTTCCGGAGAAATGAAATGATCACCAGGGTCCCCAGGGCACCCTCTGACGAGCAATTCCAGGACGCCTACTCACTATTGTGCTCCGGGTTTTGCTGTCGAAAAAGGAGTCCCTGTCAGTCAGGTCGAATCTGCAGGAACAGAAGGAGACAAGGCGACCACTGTAGGCTCCCAGTTTGGGAACTCATCCTGTCTCTAATAACAGTGACCGTGAGGGGTCCGACTATCCTCATAGCAGGCACAGGTTCCCCTGTCCCCGGGCAGGGCATTAGCTGATCTCATCAGCCTAGTGTGCTCTGAGACCACCATTGCTCGAAAGGCAACTGAGGGTGCCCTCCAACTCTAGTTTGTCATTTTGTTTTGTTGGAGACAAAGTCTCATGTAGCCCAGGCTGGTCTTCAACTGGCTGTGTAGCTGAGGATGGCCTTGAAAGCCTCATCCCCCTGCCTCCACCTTCTCAGCACTGGGATAGAAGGCAGGTACGACCATGCTCAGCCAAGCCTGGTTTGGATGAAATTAAAATCCAGGCAGGCAGTCTTTCAAGTCCCAGTTTCAGTGTCAGGGGACAGGGACAGTGTCATCCCTCCACATGATGGCTTTGGCTTTGAGGACACGCTCCCAGGAAATGGTTTGCATGCAGGTGCTCTGGGCCACACAGAGATAGTTTGAGGTTTCTAGGGCACAAGAATAGCTCTGAAGCCACCATTCCCTGGGATGCTTAGTAAGAACAGGGTGGAAATGAGCAGGATTTGGACAATGGGTATGAACCTCTCATGCCCCTGAGCTGGCAGAGGTCGCACGGCAGTGTGTCCAGTCCACCAAAGACTGGCCAGTGGAGTCAGGGCAGCATGTGGCTCCCCAAAAGCCACCACTATCTTTGCAAAGCAAAGGCCTCTGTTCTGAGCTAAAGTGTGGGTGCATGCTCATTGCCCCCTGGACATCCTTGAGGCCACAGCACCCCAAAGCCACCTGCTCCTGGGCCTGGCCATCCAAACTGCCTGGGTATCTGGTACCCTAGCCCTTTCTCCCATTTCTGCCAGTGAGACGAGGCCTGGGGAGGCCTTGCAACTGGTCCACCTGAGCCAGGTGGCTATGTACCACTGCCCCTTGGGAACAGGGAGGATGGAAGGTTCCAGAACAGACCCAGCACTGCCAGGCAACACACTGCTGACTGTGAAGCCCCAGGGCCTTCGGACTCCCTTGAGGGAGGCTTCTTGATCAGTCCATTGCTGCCTTACCAGCTGCTCCATGGGCTGCTGAGGTTTCGTGACAAGGAACCAGGGCTCAGGGGACAAAACTAGGTCTGTGTAGCCTAGACCTTTGCTCAAGCCAGGGACCAGGCAGTTTTCCCTATGCATTACCAAGCCAGGCAAAGCTTCTTTATCGCCTTGCTCTGTGCCCAGGGCCCTTAGACATTGCTTCCTCAGCCTCTTCTGGGCTGAGGAGTCACGAAGTACTATAAGAACACATTCCCCTGTGTGGGGGCAGCTGGGAATCAACCTGTTCTTCTGACTCACAGATGCTGCTTCTCCCGGGAAAAGGGGTAGGAGAGCCTCTTTGTAGTCTGTGGTCTGTGCTCAGCCACCTTGGGCTGGATGGGGTCTGTGATCTTCTGCAGAACCGAGTTGATGGTTTTCAGGAGACCTCGGGTCTCACTGATGTGGTACACCTGTGGGCAAGACCAGGCAGAGACATGAGCCCCTCTACTGCGTTCTGACTTCTGTAAAAGCTGGTAATGTTTCTTGTCAGCTTGATACAATTTAGAATCACCATGAAAACAAGCCTCTGGGCGTGTCTTGGAGGAAGTTTCTAGACTGGGCTGAGGTGGAAGACCCACCCTGAATGCGGATGGCATCATCCCATGGGCTGGGGTCGCAGCCTGAACACAAGGAAGAAAGTGAACTGAGCACCAGCGTTCCTCTCTCTGCTTCGTGCTCATGGATTCAATGTGACCGGCCATCCCCCACTCCTGCTCCATGCCTTCCACACCATTATGATCTGGGTCTCCCTAAACTGAAGCGAATAAATTCTTCCTTCATTAAGTAGCTTTGGTCAGGGTAATGTGTAAAGTAACTAAGTCTTCTTTTCTGTGATGGTCAGAAAAATACCACACAATGGTATAGTCAGTCCTTCCTGGGAACAGAGCGCCTGGGTAGCTGGCGGACCTCTATCTGCTGTGTCAGGCTTACTCAAAGGACCCAGCATTTTAGGAGAGTTGGGCCAAGAGCTCAATTATAACACATTCTAGAAAACATTTGCCCCAAATGTCTTTTTGTTTCCAAAGCTGTAATCCAAGCGGCTTCAGTGGATCTGAGAAGCCGCATTGAACGTCTCCCTCCCACCCCACACATAAATATGGACTCTCAGCCCAGCTTCCCTGGCAGGCTGCTCTTCAGCCATAAAGTTTTCAGAGATTAAAAGGAAAAATCCCAGCAAGCTAGAAAATGTAATTAAATTGAATCTGATAAATTATCTGAGACCCCACAAGCATCAAAGAAGCAAGGCCTCAAACTGAACTATATTTGTTCAGGTCAAATTCCTGGGACAGAGTGGGCAGCTTTTTGCCTGGACCTTCTCCTGGTGTCCCAGTGGGGTGGGGCCTTAAATGTTACTCTTTTCTTTTTTTAAGGCTGTGTGCATGCCTGTGTGTTTATGTACATCTGTGTACAGGTACCTGAAAAGGCCAGAAGAGGGCGCTGAATCCCCTGGAACTGACATTGCAGGCAGTGGTGAGCAGCCCTATGTGGTCCTGGAATCTGAAATCCAGTTTTCTTACAAGAGCAGTCTGACTGCTAAGGCATCTATCTAGCCCTGGCCTAGAGTCTCTAAAGACCACCCTGGCAGGGATAGAGGTCTCATGGGGGAAAGGAAATATCTCCCCTTGCTCAGTGATTAGGAGTTTGTGGAGATGATTCTGCTTTGGGATGTCCTCAAACCAAGACTAGTATTTTGAAATATAAACATTCCTACCTACCTTCTTTGTGGGCATCTTCAGTTTCAAAAATTCAGCCTCCCTGCAGAGCACATGCCAGGGTGCATGGATCTTCACAAAGCCGACACCGTGGATTTTGGTCTACAGAGAGAAAAAGGGCTGGTGGTCAGGGTGTTTGGCAGCTATGACCCCTTTCACCTTGATACCCAGTTGTGACTGATTAGGTGTGTCTGCCTTATCTTGGCACCAGCCATGTCCTGACAATACTCACCATGGCTAGGCACCTTTCTCTTCTCTTTTTTTGAGACAGGGTTTCACTGTGTAGTCCCAACTGTCCTGGATCTGGAACTCACTCTGTAGACCAGGCTGGCTTCTAACTCTGCCTGTGCAGAGATCCACCTGCCTGTGCCTCCCAAGTGCTGGGATTAAAGGGGTGTGCCACCACCATCGGGTGCTAGGAACCTTTCTTACACACAGCACTTTATGCAAGAATCCAGAGGTTCTCTGGTCACAGCCAGGAGGGACCTTAGGGGTCTAAAACACTTAGGAAATTTTCAGGAATTAAGTGAGAGCCCCCCCCCCCCAAGCCTGGTAACAACAGAGGACCATTCATGATTCCAGGTCCACAGCCCTCAGCCGTGACTTGGGGCTCTCAGGGCTCACTGGACAGAAGCTCCTGTGGGGGTCATGCAGTTCTCTCTCTGATGGTAGACTAACTCCAGCGTCCCTACAGATCTATGACTGTTATCCTTAAAGAGGCCGACACAGGGAAACCAAGAGTTCAAGTCCAGGTCCCCCTGCGGTGCTGCTTTGACTTGAGACAAGTGTAATGGCTCGTTTTGTCAGTTTGACACAATCTAACTTCATGCTGGCCTGTGCACATGTTTCTGTAATAGACTGTCTTGATGAATAGGAAGGCCTGCCCACTGTGGATGGCACCATTCCCTGGGCCTGGGATCCTAGGTTGTATATGAGTAGGAAAGCACACATATATTAACTCATTGTTCTGCCTGTGGGTGTGATGTGGCCAGTTGCTTCAAGTTCCTGCTGCCAATTCAGACCCAAGCTGTGCTTCCCCAATGGCAGAAGTGCCACACCTGGTTCCTTGGAAAGGGGCCTTTGTCAAGGGACAGGTGTCTACATAGTCACACAAACATGCAGGACCTTGCCCAGAGCTTTCACAAGACCTTTCATGGCAGACTGGAGCTCAGCCCCAAGTGTCTACAGAACTCTCTGGCCCACAATTCTGAGACCTGAAGGGGCTTGCCATGAGGTACGGAGCAGCCAGTGTGACCTGCCTCCTCTGTGCCCAGGATCACAGGCTGAGTGAGTGGCCCAGACCACAGGTGTGCCGTGGGCTAATGGCCAAAACCTAACAGGCCAATGTCATCTGAGGATGGCCTATAAGAAAAAAAATTCTGGGAAGCTGAGTGGGATTGTTTCTGAGGCTAGTCTGCTTTCCTGGGCTACATGGTGAGTTTCACCCAATCAATCAATCAATCAAACAAACAAACAAACTAATCAAGCATCTGAGACAGGTGAAGTAAACACATTTGTCTAGACCTAAAGTCAAAAAGTTGGTGACACTGCAGAGCTGACACTGCAGAGTGGAGCACCTGGTGGGAAGAGGTAGACCATGATGGAGACGTGACAAAGGTTGGGGACACACTTGCCTGGTGTGCATGAGGCCCTGGGATCAAACCCCAGTACCCCATAAACTGGGCGGAGTGTTGGTGTGCCTGTAATATCAGCACTCCAGAGGTGGAGGCAGAAGAGTCAGAAGTTCAAAGTCATTCTCAGCCTCTTAGGGAATGCCAGGCAAGGCTGGGCTAATCGAGACTCTGTCACAGATAAGCATGATAGTTCAGGCCAGAGCCCAGGGATAGACGGCTTTGGCTACAGGCTTGGTCTTCTCCTTTGAAGAGACAGATATCATCCCAGGACAGAGAAAGCACCCCAGATAGGATAGAAATCCATGGTCCTTCTGCTGCCCCCTTGTATAGATGGGATGCGTTTGGGAGACCTGTGTGGTCTATGGCAAGTGTCTTAACCTCTCTTGACCCTGTTCCCTCATCTATAAGGCAGGTGATATGAGGTCTGGTTTGCAGACAAAAGTCCTCTGGTACCCTTAGCAGTTGAGCCCCAGCCTTGGGTCCACAGGCAAAGTCAACACAAGGGACTGAAGCAGCTGAGTACAGCTTCAGCCTGGCTCCAAGGCAAGCTAGGCCACTCCTGCTTTGGCCAGCCCTGTCACAGAGTCCCCAGCCCCAGTGACTCACAGGCTGATGTCATGGGACACCCCTGAGTCAGGGGGAAATGTCTGTTGTGGCTCACAAGTGGTGGAGGCTAGCTTTTCCACTATAGACCAAGATTAATCTCTATGTAGTGTTCGCCCGCACGCTAAGACCCAAAATATTCTTTGCAGTCCCAGCATCCCTGGGAAAGCGGGCCCTGCTGACGTGAGTGCCCGGGTCTTTCCCAAGGAAACATCTGGTTGGTGAAGGGGTCGTGGGACCCATTTAGCAAAAATACACTAAGATGTTTTTAAAAATGTGGTACCCAGCCTGACCACAGCCCTCCCGCAGTAGGAGGAGCTTGGGGGATGGCCAGGTCCTTCAGTCATAGCCAAAGGCTGTGAAAGACTAAGTTCTGTCCCTACTCCTGATCACTGTGCTGAGACTTTTGAAACCACAAACTTACGGACATAAGACCCCAGGGACGGCATAACCTAGCTAGACTACAGGGATCCGTGAAGGGACAGGTCCCCAAGAAGTCCCCTGCTAAAGATGTGGGGAGGATTAGGTCAGGCCACCTAGCTCCATATAGCGCGCAGTTGAGGAGTTAGGTTTCTATCCTGAGCCCCGAATGAAAGGACTCCGACTTTACTAGAACTGGTTCCAGGACATTCAGCACTTGAAAGATTGAAGTAGAAGAACTGTTATGAGTTCAAAAGGTGTCCCATGATGCTAGCCTGGACTATAGTGTGAAACTGTCTCAAAAATTAACAAACAAACAAACACAAAAGAAAAGTAAACTAGATCTTTGACCACACAGGTGGTACATGTCTGTAACCCCAGACAGGAAGGAGAGTCAGGAGTTCAAAGCAGCTTCACCTACATACCAAGGTCAAAGCTAGCCATGAGACCCTGTCTCAAAACACAGAAGGAAAAATAAGGGGGCAGGGATGAAAAAACAACAACAAGAAAACAACAAAAATCAAAACAACAACAACAAAAACAAAAACAAAGTTGCAGAGGTCCCATGAAGGGTTCATGTGGCTGAGACAGCACCTCACCCTTGTGCCTGAAGCCCTGTGTAGCAGCAGTCAAGGCAATGCCCAACCTGTCCGATGCCCTGATTCCCACCTGGTTTTCCCCACTGGCAATGGCTGCCTCAATAGATGTGAGCTTGAGACCTATGGCTCTGCTCCAGTGTGCACCTAGGATGGCTGACTGCCCAGGGCACAGCGTATTCAGTGAGTGATTGACAGAGGAAAGGGAGCAGTCAGTCTGTACTAAGTGCCTACTGTGTACCAGATGGAGACAGCTTAAGCATCTGGCCCAGTCCCACCTTCTCGCAGACCTTCTGATCTGCCTCAGCGTACCCTTATAGCTGGTGAGAGGCTGGTAAGATCTGTAGACACTTGATCCAGGTGTTTGAACAGCAGGTGTGGCATGGGAACCCAATCTGGTGCTCACTTGCCATGCTCACTGTGTTCCTCCACCCACACAGCTCCCAGAGGGTGAGGCACAGTCCCCGGGGTTGGAATATGTTGCCACTAGTGTGGGCCTGGGTGGGGAAGGGTTGCCCGCTAACTGGCATGCCCACAGTAATGGGTTCTGCTAGCCATGTTCACAGTGTGAGGGAGACCCGGAGTCCATGGCAAGAATGGGTTGGTGCCTACCCACCCTTAGGGGAATGTCCTCTTAACTCTAGCCTCAGATTTGAGCCTCGGGATCTGTGGAGCCATGAACTGGTTCTCAGGGGTGGACAGCCTCACTTGCCATTTGCCAAGAATCTGTCAGGGACAGGCCTTGGGCGTGTTTCTCTCCAGCCCCTTGCCTGAAGCCTGCTGGATAACAGAGAAATCAGCAGACAGATCCTGTCACACCTTTGCTGCCATTTAAGGTGGAGACACCCTTCCCCCACCCCACTAGGGCAATCCTCCATGGAAAACAAAACAAAACAAAAATGCTGGCTACAATTAGAAAAAAAAATGATTAATGCACTGCCTTCAAGATTCTGCAGAGCTGGTACCAGGGCAGGGAGCTGCAAGGCATGCCATGACAGCGAATGAAGATCCAATGAGGACACTAGAACCATGTCTTCAGAGGGTGTGGTAGGAACCAGGCCCGGCTTGAGCTGGCTTCAACAGCCACCCAGCCATGGTGGGAAGGAACACGCTAGGGACCCTCCCATGAAGACTAGATCCCCTTTCATGAGTCCCACAAAGGAACAGTCGCTTTCTTCTGACCCCAGGACAGGAGGTTGGTGGATGCTAAAGAGCTTGAGGGTACAGGAGAATTTACACCCCGGGAATGGGCAGACACCACCAAACAACCCCACACTCTCGTGAGCATGCTTGCTACTCTGAGTCACCCTACAGAGCTTGGAGAAAGAAGACGAAGAAGAAAGAGGAGTAAAACCACCTGTGAAGGTGCGATGGTTTCACCTGTGGCCGTGGCCAGGGACAGTTCCTACCACAGTCAGCTCAGGCCCTGGGACCCTGAACAGTGCTTCAGGAAGTCCTTGATGGGCACAAAGACAGCTGAGCCCACTGGGCGTAAACAACCCAGGGATACGGCTGGAGAGAACCAACAAGTGACAGAGACAGAAGCCAGTGCTCTTGGCTAGCGAGCGTGAGCTCATTAGATGGATGACAGACAGGTCAGGCCCGCTCACCTCAATTAAAGACATAAACTTCAGGACAGGAAGGCCTGCAAAGGACAGGAAACTATTAAAAACTGACGCAGCCGGCTTGGGAATAAACCAAACAGAACTTCCAGAAATGAAAAAGACTCGTACTGAGAAAAAATCCTGACACGGTGTTGGCGAATAGCGTCCCCAAAGAAAGCAGAGTTAGAGGATTGGTGTGGTCTAGAGGAATACCAGAGAGCTTGGGGACATTGGCTCACTCCCAT